GGTGTTTTGTTGGAGAAGGGGGGGGGTTGTACAACCTGCCAGCAACTACAAGGTGCCGGTACAATGGGACTGTAACTGAGAGATGTCGGCCAGTCTCATGCACACACTAGATTGCACATGCCACAACCCCCACACCTGCAGGGGGACTCGACTACAACTTGAGGGAAGGGATGTCGGCTAGTTTTTTTTTACAGAAAATTGGGAGGTCGTCCAGTTTCATGTATACCGCCAGACCTTCAACTACATGTGTCACAACCAGTGTGCAACTATAAGGGCTACAACGCGCCTGCAACTGAGAATTTGTTTCCTATATTTTTGTTTTCTAGTTTAGCTTTACTTTACTTTTATCCTTTATTTCCCATTTTTATTTTCCTTTTCCTATTTTACCCTTTTTATTTCTTCTCTTGTTTATCGGGTTAATTTCTTTCTTTTTCCTTTATAATCACGTTTTTTTCCTTTTCAGTTAGTAGAAATATACTTTGTTGTGTGTATATAAATATTAAAAAATGTTTAAGTTTTTTTTTTCAAAAATACATAGTGAACATTTTCCCACTATGTGGTGAAGATTTTTTCAATACACAATGAACAACTTTTAAAAGTGTTCATGCAATTTTTAATAAATATTCACACATTTTAGAAAGTGTTTATGTATTTAAAATATATGCATATATTTTTCAAAATTGTTCATGTAATTTATAAACATTCAGGCATTCTTAAAAAAAATGTAATCTTAGAAAAATATTTACGCACTTCTTTACAACATGTTCGTGTAATTAAAATGGTGTACACTGTATATTCCTCTCTCTGTGTGTGTTAATAAAAATGGAGAACACCTCCAACACATACAGAAGCAAGTTCATGTGCTAGCTCACGAGCAAGGAATTGCAAGCACAAAGTCCAACCCAAGTCCCGTTTAACTACAACTTACGAGCACATAACAACCGTGAGCCAGGCAAGCGTCAGTCGATGATAGAGTCTTAGCCAGACCCCAATTTCGTATATAATAGATGTTGATAATTTTCTCTGTGAATTTGATGGAATATACAGTAGAAAAATTTGCTCATATTTATATGCATGAAGCAATACATAGACAACGACACTACATAGATCCCTTAATCAGTACACACTGAAAAAATGGCCAAATTTTCACCAACATCTAGGTAGATAGCCACAATACATTGTGTCAAAAATTAAAAATTAAAAGCCATATATTTTCTTGGCAAACTTAAACTTCTGTCTGACTAACTGAAATCATCAACTGCAGACATTGTTTCAGTCGTTGCTTGGGTCTTCTAGAGGGTATACTTCTGGCCGGCGAACCGTTTGGCATCCTTGTCCTCCTCGCCGTCCACCTTCTTCGCCGACTTGGCGCCAGGGGGCGGCAAGCGGCGGCCGCTGAAGAACCGAAGCACATTCTCACTAGCACTCTTCCCCTTGCCCGAAGATCCCGGCGCCTGCGCCGGCGCAGGGGGCGGCGTCTGCTCCACGGGCTTCCCGTCCATCCTTATCCCGACGCCGGCGAACCGCCGCTCGCCGCCGTGGGCGCAGTCCTGGCATGGGGCGGCGGCGACCTTCACCGGCGCGGGAGCAACCGGCGGCTCCACGTAGTCGAGCGGCGTCGCGAAGTCGACCTCGCAGTCGGTGTCGAGGGTGGAGACGGCGTCGGCGGGCGTGGCCTCGACGACGTCGAGCAGGTACCGCTTGTCCCCCTCGGCGACGGTGATGGTGTCGCCGACCGTGACCGTGGAGTAGTTCTTCAGGTTGTACTCGAGCAGCTCCTTGTGGTCCTTGGCGCCCAGGAAGTCGGTGGTGTGCGGCCGCAGCTTGATGGACGTGGCCTTGGGGAGCGACGTGCTGGTCAGCAGCACGAGGTCGCCCTCCTCCAGCCCGAGCCGCGCCATGGCGTGGGCGGGCACGTGCACGAACCCCTCCTCGCAGCCGAACTCGAGCACGCCGCAGTGGGAGGCCTCGAGGGTGGCGGCGTTCTGGACGCGGAAGAGCATCGGGTACCCCAGCCCCACCGACAAGATACGGTCCAGCGCCGACGCCGGCAGGATGACCCAGTTGCCGTCGTCGGCGCCCGCGTTGCCGAGGAGGGCCATGGGGCGGCACCGGAGGTACTGCGCTCAGCCGCGGCGCGACCGCTGCTGCCGGAGGTACGCCCGCCACGCCTCCTCCGCCTGCCTCGCGTGCTCCTCCTCCTCCTTGCTCTCCCACTGCATCGCCGATGATCAGGCCGCCGCTGCCTCCATGAGAAGAGATCGAATCAACTCAAAAGATCGCTCTGAAGTTTAGAACGAACTCGATCGATCGATGGATCAATCTGCGAGTCGAGCCGTGGGTTTGCGCCCGCTTTTATCCATGGTTTCGTGGGTGCTACGGTCGGTTCGGTCCGAGCAGAACCGGGGGCCGACTACCATACGGTCTAGTGTAGGTCGGTAAACCGGGCCCGCGTGGCGGTGAGACGACCCAGCCGGAACCCGGGCCTTTCCATGACAAGTGGGCCCGGCCCGTCAGAGCCAAACCCGGGCTTCGGTTGGGTCAAAGCCCGTGTCCGTCTCTGTTTCTCCTCGTGCTCCCCTCCTCTGTTCTCTCCGGTGCTCCTCCCGCGAGACGAGACGGCCGCCTCTAAACCCTAACCCTAGATTGGATTACGGGGGCTGGGAGAGGGAGAGGGTCGGAGCGGCGGCGGCGGCGGCGGCGAGATGTCGGCGAAGAAGGGGCTCTCGAGCACGCTGCGGAACCTCAAGGTGAGGAATCGAGCCCTCTGTCCTCCCGGCTGCTTCCTCTCGCCATGGCTTGGCCTCTTACGGGGGGTGTTTTCTCTTGTCCGTGTGCGTGTGCGGCGGTGCAGTTTATGCAGCGGGCGGCGGTGGCGCAGAAGATTGAGGACAAGGCCGATGTCGAGGTGGAGGAGGCGGCGGCCGAGGTGGTGATGACGCCGGCGGCCAACGGAGGAGGGGTTAGCTCGTCGGTCCAGGTCGCCAGGAAGTGGTACGTATGTGGGTTGTTGAAATTCCCGGTTCTTCTTAGCTGCAGATGGTTCTTCCTGTGTTGGTGTGTCTTGGTTGGGTATGCTCGGGTTAGGGAAGTTGTTGTAGAGGATTTTAGATTTGTTGTTATGTTGTTATTAAGACTGTACGATAGTGATGCAATTCTAGTAATATTTCTGCTAGCATAGTTACTGGCCCCTGCGCAAATGGAAATTGATGAAGATCGCACCGTTTTTGGATCAAGGTTTGTTACAAAAGGGAACTCGCACAAACTCCTGTGAACACTAACTAACAGTTTCACTTAGGAAAATGCCACATATTGGGGAGAAGTATGCCATATAGGTGAAATTCAAGTAATTTGTGTGCTATAGCTTATGCCATAGAAGTGAAATTCCAGTAATTTGTGTGATATAGCTTAGTTGCTGACCCCTGCGAAGCAGGGAACCGTTGAAGAATCACACCACTTTTGGTTCAAGTATTTTTGGTACAAAAAGAAACTCATGCAAACTCCTGTGAGCGGTACCAGTTTTCCTTGGGCATCGCATATGGCGGAAAGTATGACTAGAAATGTGCTTATGCAGCTGTACCTAGTAACTGTTTGGGAGAAGGAGACTGTCGGCATAGTGTTACATTACATGCTTTTGTGTCTATCTTTTGAAGTTCAATCATATTTTGCAGCCTGGTCATAAATTAAAAACATGTTAAACAAATTTATTACTTGTTCTGTCAGAGGTTTTTCTCACCCTGTTTCAGCTTTAGATTTATTGCCTTTCCTATGCAGCACAAAATCCATGAAGGGTTACTAGCTTTGATTTGTCACTGCAGACTAAGCAAAACTAGTTTCTTTTTTCAGTGTAGTTGTCATGGAGGGTAATCCACATCCAGGAGCTTTAAAGGGTCGAATGTCATTCCAAAATTTCAATCCATCCATTGATGTGAGTTCTGTAGCTTTTTGTCCTTCGGGCTTTTTATGTCCTTTAGATGTCTGTTCCCTTACACAAGCCTAGACCTGTAGAAACTAAATGACGAGGCAAGTGGTCGCCCAACACAATCAGCTTCACCTAGTAATTCTCAACAAGACAGTGCAAATACCAGCAGGTTAGCTACTACCATGGTTCTTTTTCTCTTCTCTGTTAAGTTACCTTGGAAATGCCGGCTGTCACAAGTTACTTTTTAGCTATTCCCCAAGATTGATGCATTGCAAATGTGTGAAGTAATTATTTAGTTTCGGTTGCTTAATTTGGACCAATTTGATCGACAACATGTCGAGAAAACCTGTAGATTCCACTTTGTTGAGCTGGGCATGTCTATCCTTGAAGTGCTCAGATACAAGTTATATACTCAGAGGAACTGTATACTTTCGAGCTGTGTGAATAAAGGACAATGGTATTTTACTATTATTTTTTCTTTTAAGAAGTTATTATTGATAGAGCACATAAACAACTTTAGATTGGCATACATACTGGGTGATGTTTTTATTTATTTCTGATGCAGTTCTTTTATGTTCAAACTATTGCTAAAAATTAGATTCAGTTTGATCTCTTGAGTCCTGCTGTGCCATACATAATTGATATCCTATTCACCAGAAGAACACTTGCATTTATACATATAGTATATGTCTGCATCAGCTATCTTTGGCATATGTAGTTTTGAGGCTTTTTGATGACTTAAGTGGGAAATGAAACTGCAGAGTGGATGATATATCAGCATCAAGATTTAGAAGCTTCAATGTTGATAGTTCAGAAAGCATATCTCTGAATGAGTTGAAGAGAAAAGAGCCTGGGCTGGAGATGGAAACACCACCATCGCGTAAGCTGCCAAAGACGACTGGCCAGAACGTGGATGGCCAGCCGTCTTCGCAGAGCAATGGTCGTGGGTCTGGCAAGTCGAACAAGCATGAAAAGCTTGACTTTAATCTTCTCAGAAAACGGAAATCAAAATGAGGCCCAGGTTAGCATTAGCCAAGAGAGCTCTGTGTACTCCATATGTCACCATTTGTACTCTCTATCTGATCAGCCTTGTGCGTTGTTCACTGAATTATTTCTGTAGTAGCAGGTAGCCAGGTTAAACCTGCAGTGATATATCTGTTATTAACTTGAGAAGCCTACTGGGTAACATGGTATCTTACATTGGGCGCTTTTCTTCTGTTTTTGATGGTGCTGTACCCCATTATCACTTGTAAGATGTAAGATTCTACAGCAGCTGTGAGAATTTAAAGTTTTGGGGTAAGTTTTTTTTGTTGTTGTTGTTGCTGTTAAAAGTCATGTGCATTATTGGCGTTACAATTGTGCTGTGCCGTGTTCATGTACGGGAATTGGAATTTATTGTTGGCTTCAGAACACAGACAATCAGCCATGGTCTGATTGTTTTTCTCAGCAATGGAATGCAGAGTTACAAGATACCCCATCTTTTGGTTTATCCTCCATCATGTTTGTATGGTAATCTCATACTCCCTCTAGTAATCAGGCTGAACTGACTATTAAGCATAGAATAACTGATTGGCATGGAATAACTGATTGGCATGGTGACACAATGTACTACCTCCGTCCCATAATATAAGATCTTATTACATCCAATATGCTGGATGTAATAAGATCTTATATTATGGGACAGAGGGAGTAGTTATAGTAACAGGTTCTAACAGATTCACAATTCAGAGTCATTTGATATGAATGCTACATGAAGAACATAAGCCAGATGACGGAACGCAGTTGGTCTCGATATTCACTCTGTTGCCTCTCATATCTGCTGGAGACCATCCCGCACCACGGGCGAATGGCATGAAGAGCATGAGGGCTGGAGAATAAAATGTGTTTGGTTTGATCTTCAATTCCTTGGAAAAAATATAGGCTCGCAAACCTTTGTGATGCTGCCTGCTGTACCATGCTTTGCAGACCTATAAGCATTTGGTTGTATATCAGCTGACGAATCAAACAATCAACTAACGTGACATGGGCCTTGAAGAAACTGAGTTTTTTCTCAAATAGCCAACCAGCAACACAATTTTGCAAGTATTATTATTGTCAATTTCCTTCCAAAAAGAATTGCATTGCGAATTAACAAGAGTCGTACATAACATGATAAAACATATTTTTGGAAGGAGGCAAAAGCCTCATTCATTAATGACGAGGGGAAAATAAAGTTTAAGCTGCACTGTCCAACATGGTGAAAAGTGATTTCTTCCCCTCCCACCCTACTTGAATTAAGCAGAGTCGAATTTGTGAGCGTCTGTTTCTCACAAAAATACCCACATCAAAGAGCATGGGACAGCTCGCCTCTCCTACATTAAGCAGACCCTGTACATTATGATTAGTGATAAGCACCTCACATGACCCTGCATGATACAAACGCCAAGACAAGATTCGACGGCATCCAGGGGACGATGGTGACGCCCCAAATATTTCTCATAATATTACTTGTTCAACAGAGAAACAAAGGGCAGGACATCAATATAAGCTCTATTTTGTCTAAGGAATCCTCTTCAAGCTGTTCACTTTGTATATGGCTCAATTGCTTGGTTGCTGATCAACCTCCATGTTTTCTTTCAACCATCTTCGTATTTTTATCTTTATCTTTGTTCTTATTGTTATCCATTACTCACTGTTTCGGCAGCCGACATATTTCCACAAGCTACCTGGAGCTAGGCAAAACGATGTTTCTCGAAAAATTCACTCATTCTAGTGCAAGAACCCGAAGAACTTCTCCCTTGTCGCTCCCTCCAAGCGACTCTGGGGTGACCTCTCCCAACTGCCTTCCCGATGGCAGTCGGGCTGGTTTTGTCGGCCTGTGTATAAGGTATCCATGGACATGAACAATAATACATGCAAGGATTTCACCGACGAGGAGATTTCCGATGCCATGTTTCAGATAGGGTCACTCAAGGCGTCGGGGCTAGATGGGTTCCCAACACGGTTTTTTCAGTGGCACTGGCAACATAATTAATATTGTCAAGTTATTCTTCGCTTCAGTAATGATGCCAGAAGGTGTAAACAACACCGTTATTGTTTTGATCCCCAAGATTGACACACCGACTCGCCTTACTGATTTTCAGCCTATTAGTCTCTGCAACGTCATCTATAAGGTAATAGCTAAATGCCTTGTCAACAGACTTCGGCCTATTCTGGGTGAGCTGGTGTCCTCGGAGCAGAGTGCTTTTGTACCGAGCAGGTTAATTACTTATTGACAATGCCTTAATTGCCTTCGAGTGTTTTCATGCGATCAAGCAGGAAAAAGATCCGGAGCAAAGCTTCTGTGCCTATAAGCTGGACCTCTCCAAGGCTTTTGACAGGCTGATTGGGTTCAGCCACTAGGGTTGTTTGGAGCGCTGAACCAAAATAGTGGTAGGGTTTTGTGAAATTAAGAAAGGTGGTAGTTTGCCATAAGCTAGCCCGTAATGTGGTAGATTTTTGCTATTTACTCTAATTCCCTTGCTACATTGGCTAATACATGTATTCATCATATGGAGATAACTAATGTGTGCTCATTATGTGGTCTCAAGCGGGAGGACACATTTCATGTGTTTGTAGGTGCCCAAGGGCAGTGGACTGGCGAGCGATGGCGCAAGTGTGGCGTCTCCCTAACCTCGAAGCAGTCCGTAACACGAGATCTGAATGGGCACTTGACCTCACATTGTGGACTGCGATGAAGGGGATGGACTGAGACTACTCATGTTGTTGGCGCTGCTTGTTTGTGCAAAACAAAATCAAGCATGACAAACCGGGCAACCAATAGAGGTCTCATGAAAGTTTCTGTAGAGCTATGTCACTTCTCTCTTAGGCATTCAGTAGTACCCAACAGGAGATTGGGACAAGAGAAATATGGTTATCTAGCAGGAGGGTTCCGAGCAACCCATATCACATGTGGAGATCCAAAACAAACCGGTTCGCAAGTGAAGTCCCCCGCCGGTGAACTGGACGAAACTCAACGTAGACGGCTCCTTCTCTCCCAAGGATGGGCCGACAGGCGCGGGAATGGTGCTGCGTGATCGCAACGGCGACATCATCTTCTCGGCTTGCAGGTCCTTGGGGCCATGCCCGGATGCCTTGCATGCGGAGCTCACAGGATGCATGGAGGGGCTGGCTCTAGCGCGCCAATGGACGGATCTTCCAGTAATCTTGGAATGTGATAGCCTGCATTCAATCCAGCTGATCAGTGCTAGGAGGAAGGACCGGGTGAAAGTGCAATATTGCACTAAAGTGTTTTTTTGACATTGTTGACAACTTCATTTGTGTTTGTAACCACATGCTCTAAGTGTTAACAGCCCTGATTAAGCTAAAAGTGAAGCATGGATGGTTATTTCCTCTCTTATTGGAAAAAGGAAAAGCGGTGCGCTCAAGAAAAGAAGAGTACCTTAAAGTTTTCTTAGTTCTTGAGTCCTTAGGGCAGCCGCACTATTAAGAGGGGGTGCATCATAAAAACATCCGGGGAATCAACTTACCTTCTCACATTGATCTGAAAATCCTAGTGCCAAGTTTCTGTTCAGCCCGGAACTTCCGGGACGCGGAACTTCCGGGGCCCGGAATGTCCGGGCGGGGTCTAGGAAGCTTCCGGGTACCCAGAGAAACTTCACTTTTTCGTGCAATCTTTCTGTGTAGCCCGGAACCTCGCCGGAACCTGGCCGGAACTTCCGTCGGCCGGAACTTCCGGGTCCGGAACTTCCGTCTGTAGCCGGAACTTCCGGGCTACGTAGAAATCTGCCTCCAACGGCCAGATTTCATCCCCACCTATAAATAGTCTTCTTCTTCCTCACAAAGGAGTTGACGCCTCCATTTTCTCTCACCTCCATTTTCAGACCTCGATTTCTTGGAGATCTCCCTCCTTAGCCAACCAAAGGTCTTGATGTTTTGAGTAGCGAAGGAGAAGTGCTCGATCTACACATTCACCAAAGCGAAAGTTGATTCCCCCCTTGTTTTTGTGGTGCTTCTTGTTACTCTTGGAGGTTGGAGACTCCTAGGCGGTAGGAGTGCTCCGGCGAGGAATCGACCATTGTGATTTCCCCTGGAAAGTTTGTGAGGGTTTGGAGACCACCCCAAGGTCTACCACTAGTGGTTGAGAAACGCCTTTGTGGTGTTGTATCAAGGAGATAATAGGGTGAGCCTTCGTGGCGTTGGTGTGCCTTCGTGGTAACATCCACCTCTCTAAACGGTGACATAGCTTCCCTCCAAGGAAGTGAACATCGGCATACATCCTCGTCTCTCGGAGTTGCGGTTATTCCTAACCCTAACTCTCTACTTGTGGTTACTTGTCTCTTAGCACTTACTTATATCATCTTGTGCTTGCTTACTCATATATTTGGGTCACTTGTTTATCTTGCTTAGCTCATTAGTATCTTACTTACAATTGTTAGGCTCACTTTCACTTTCCGCATTATTGCCTAAAATTGCTTAGTAACAATTAAAATTTGTAATTATACCTATTCACCCCCCCTCTAGGCCCATCTCGATCCTTTCAATTGGTATCAGAGCCTCGTGCTCTATTCTTGTGGCTTAACCGCCCTAGAGCAAGATGAACCCCGATGGGATTCCCCTTGTTGTTGATCCGAAGGATAAAGGTGAGGCTTCTTCTGAAGTCAAGTCCTTTACTTCTGAGGATCTGGAACGGGCCCTTGCTAAGCAAAAAGAGGAACATGATGCTTCTCTTGAGGCCTTGGTCCAAATGAGACTAGCCACGTTGTCCATGGTGCTTGCACCACTTTCGGGTGGTACGACTTCGAGGCCAACCGTGCCTACTCCGTCACTTGGTCAACAACCTCCTAGCAATGAACACTCCAGTGTTCCTTGGCTTTATGCAAGACCCCAAGTTGAGAAACCGAAATATAACCCTCAAGGCAAACCTCCTTTACTTGATGCCACTTCCGATTTTTCCTTGTGGAGAGTTGCTATGCAGGATCATCTTCAATATGGAAATGATGAGATGCTGGAGATCTTGGAGTATGGTTACCATG